CTTGAAGTTCCGCACGGGTTAACCAACGGTCAGCTCGGTGTGTGCAGTATGCAAAGTGCACCAAATACTCAGTTGGCTTGTTGTCGTAGCGTCGCAGGGAGATGATGTCGCCGACCTCCTGAAAACCGTCCATAGAAGGTGGGTCTTGCGTACGTCTCCCGGGAAAATCGTCATGTTCCGCTGGCGTGTAAAGAGCCAACTTGGAGCAATGAAAGACTGGGTAGACCGGCAAGTGGCCAAGCAGCTGAATCGTGAAGGAAGGTCCCTCGGGTGCGTCCCCAGCGGGCGCTACGATCGGCCAAGGCCCCATCCATTTCGGGAGGAGCTTGCGATAGATGTCTTGTTCAAGGCTGAATTCCGCTGCGGAAACCCAAACAAGGTCGCCTGCGCGGAATGGGCAAGGAAGACGCTGGCGATTGGCCTGTTGGCTCATGCGCTGCTGCGTCTTAGCCATCTGATCGCGTGCCTTGACAAGAAGCTCTTGCATCCGACGCAAGAAAAGAAGATGGTCGTCGCTCTCGACCGTTCGTGGAGTAATAGCGTCCAATGGTGAAGTGACCGGCGAGCCGTGCTCAAACTCAAAGGGCGACATCCCGATAGCCGGGTGGATAGATGAGTTGTAGGCCAACTCGACATCCGGCAGCCGCTCAACCCAGTCCTTCTGGTCGGGGCGGATGAGAGTGCGAAGGAGAACCTGTGCAGTCTGATGCGCCCTCTCCATCTGGCCATTGGTCTGAGGGTGGCGAGCTGAACTGGGCCTGAGAGATGAGCCCCATCGCTTGATGAGTGCCAACCAAAAATCGGACATGAAACGAGTGTAGCGGTCGCAGACGATTTCCTTGAGGTAACCCTTGGTTCGAATCCAACCGGCGTAGAGAACCTCGGCCAACTCCGGTGCCTTGGCATGATAGCGACAAGGCAAAAACACGACGAACTTGGTGAGTCGGTCGACCACCGTAAGAATCCCATCCACTCCGGTCTTGTGCTTGGGGAACGGGCCGGTAATGTCCATGGCAATCGCTTCCCTTCGCCTCAACGGAACTGGCAATGGTCGTAACTCGCCGTACGGACGATGGTTGCGGGATTTGCAGCGTCGGCAAACCTCGCATGACTCGCATTAGCGCGTGACGTCGCCGAGAAGGCCGGGCCACCAAAATCGTTGGCGAAGTCGGCCAATCGTGCGATTAACTCCAAAGTGTCCGGTGGCGAGAGCATCGTGGAACTCGCCAAGAAGCCGTGTACGCAAGTGAGGATCACTTGGCACGCAAAGAAGGTCCTTCCCCCGCGTGTGGACAAGCAAGTACCCCTCTTGGATCCGGTAGTGAGAAGGAACCGGATTAGGAGAGGAGCAATTCGCGTACTTGTCGCGAAACTCGGGGTTGGCTTGGTAGCCGCGGATGAAACTGTTCCGCAGGTCGTCGTCGATCTCGAAGGTTGAGTAGACCGCGGTACAATGATCCGGACGCCGTGGAAGAGCATCCGCAAAACGGTTCGACTTCCCGGGAATGTGATCGGGAAAGAAGTCGAACTGGTCGATGAAAGCCATCCATCGAACGATGGTGCTGTTGACGGTGTCTTGGGTCTTGTAAAAGACCAATGGATTGTTGTCCGTTACCCAGCGAAATTGGCTTTGACCAAGGAGGAAGTGCCGCCACCGCTTGAGCGTGTGGACGAAGGCGAGGAGCTCCTTCTTGCGTGCATCATCAATGGAATGCACGATGGGCACTTTCTTGCTGAAGTATTCGACCGGGTGCCAGTCCACACCGTCATGTTGCTCGAGGACTGCACCAATGCCATAGCCTGTCGCATCCGTAGTGATGCGCGTAGGCAAGAGCGGGTCGTATATCCGCAAGCCCTCCGCAGACAATAGCGCGACCTTGAGAGCGAAGAATGATCCCCGCACCTCCTCTCCGAAGTCAAACGGCCGATCCTCGCATTGAAGCTTGTTCAAGTGGGCCGCGATCTTCGAGTAGTCTTTGATGAAGCGCTGATAGTAGCTGGCGAGACCAAGGAACGAGCGGACATCTGTGACGTTCCAAGGCTCCGGCCACTCTTGGACGGCCTGAATCTTATCCGATAGCGGACTGATGCCCTCCGGTGTGACGAAATGGCCCAAGTATTCCAGCTCCTGCCGGACAAATTCACACTTGTCGCGGTTGGCCTTGTACTTGGCGCGGCGGAGCGTCTCCAACACTCGTCGAAGATGCCCAAGATGATCCTCCAATGACCGGCTATAGACGAGAATATCGTCTAAGTAAACCAGCACGAACTGGTCCAACATTGCACGAAATTCATTGGTCATTGCCGCCTGAAAGGTCGCCGGGGCGTTGGTGAGGCCAAAAGGCATGACCACCCACTCGAAATGGTCGTACCTCATCTTGAACGCGGTCTTGTAGCGGTCGTTCGGCTGGATCGAGATTTGATGATATCCTGATTTCAAATCCAACTTGGAAAAATATTTTGCGCCGCCCAATCGCTCAAGAAGATCGTCGATGCGAGGAAGAGGCCCTGCATTCTTGACGGTTTGCGCGTTGAGCTTGCGGTAGTCGATACACAATCGTAGATCCTTGTTCTTTTTCCTGACGAAGAGAACTGGTGCTCCACCAACAAATCGTCGAGTTGTGCGCGGAGGACCTCAAGTTCCTCCTCGCTCATCCGATAGATGCAACCTTTCGGCGGCACGGCACCGGCCTCAAGAATGATCTCGTGAGAGATCGGCCGATCCGGCACTACACCGGTAGGTGACTCGAAGATGTCGGCGAACTCGTCCAGCAACCGTACCACACGGGGGTCCGAAGACAAGTCCGTGGGTGAAGAGTCGGCTACCGCGACGGTCCGTAAAAAAAAATAGGCCGATCTCCTCGGGCTGCTCGTGAGCGCAAGTCGCCCGGAATGATTTGGCCGTCACCAATTGGCACCGGATCGAAGGGTGCGGAAGAGGAATAGATGCCACTTCCGCGCCGAAGGCGTCGCGAACGCTAAGAGTCCGCCGGTGGAAGTTGATCGTGTGATCCGCACTTGCAAGCCAAGGCATTCCCAGAATGATGTCGAAGTCTGTGTCGAGAATATCGAATGTCACCGGTTCGCATGCATGAGGTGCGAAGTAGACCGGACGGCCTCGATGTAACGGTCGAGAAGTTGTTCCGTCTTTCCATCCGCCAACTTGATCGCCGTCGGGTTTGCCTTCCTCCGAACTTGTGCGCCAAGGCTAGCCTTTTGCATAAAGGACTGGCTCATGAAATTGCGAGACGCGCCGCTATCCAGCAAAGCGCTGCAGGACGCTTGCCCAACCTGAATGCGGACATACATGAGCAGTGCGTTGTTGTCATCGTACCGCTGCGTGCGAAACTCGCGGGCCACCTTGGTAGTATACGCCAGGATGTCCCCCACCGTGACTTCGTCATCCGTCGGCGAAGTTGGTGGTGCATAGAAGGATAAGTAAGCGTGAAGATTAGCGCTAAGTGTTGCGCATTGCGGTCCCAACAGGCCTGTGGTCGGGAGAGGAAGCCATGCAAAGTCCTCGGACGTGAGCGGGTCCAATGCCTCTACGTTGAACTCGCGTGCCGAATCCCGTGAAGAACCACTTGAAGATGATATGTCGCTGTTGCCGGACGGAGAAGAAACCGCACACAGTTCTTGTCCTTGAGCTTGAGTACCCAGCGTAGGAACGAGCCGGGCAGCAAAGTCCTCGAAAGAGAGTAGAAGAGGACGACTATCTACTTCCGCGTGCGCCTCGGAATGAAGGTCGGTTACTCGCGAAGAAACCGGTTCCGAAGGCGTCGAGAGTGTCGTGGAGTCACTCTCTGCGGTGCTCAGTTTCCCTGTTTGGCCTTGCCTTTCAATGGGCAGACCTGCGTCTCATGAAGATCGCTGTTGCACCAAAGGCAATAATATTGGGACCATGGGCCTGCCTGAGCTGCTGCACCGGGCCCGGGGCTAGATGCGGTGTGTGTCTTCGTCTTGCCGCGTCCTCGGCCTCTGCCGGGGCGACCACCTTCCCGGGCGGCTGCGAGTCTGTCCCCTTCATTGGCAGACACAGCCTCGCTCAAACGGCGTTGCCGCTGCGACCACGGCCACTCTTGGCCGATGCTGGTCCCTGCTCGGGCCTGACGCAGATGAACGGAGGTTCTTGGCCTCCTTGTTCGTGATGATGATCTGCGCGGCCTTGTCAAACAATTTCGCCGTCGTTGTCAAGGTGTCCTCAACATGCGTCAGGGCATTGCTTAATGTCGGACATGACCTTGAGATGAAGTAATGGCGGATGGCTTTGAAGCCCATCTGGATGTCTGGGACTAACGTCAAGCGTTGGTACTCAGCAGCGCGCCTTGCTCGAAGATCATGAGCTTGTCCATAGCCTTGATCTCCGGCGGCTCCACCTGGAACCGTTTGTGCCACGCCGCCTTCAGATCATCCCAACTAATCTTGATGTTCAAGTCGGCAGCTATCACTCCGTACTTGGACAAGAGGTTGTCCAATCAAGCCTGGCACGCGCCCCCTGAGCGAGAGTACAAGTATGCGTGGTGCTTGTGTTCTTTGATGTTGTGCAGCTGCAGCGTGAGCTCGAACTTGCTGAACCATGGAATCGGATCTGTCTTCATCGAGTCGCAGAAGATCTCCTGCCCGTCAAACTTTGGAGCTGTCTCGCGCGGCTCCAAACTCGAGGTATTGGCGGTGGTACAGATCCGCTGCTGCAACTGTTGCATTGCAATCTGCTGTAATTGCACGCCATCTTTGAGTGAGCCGACATCCATCTCCAATGCGTTGAGGCGGTCAGAGGTATTGGAAGAGCTTGCATCGGCGGCGGCGACTGGTCGCTGCTCCAACCGCTGAAGGCGGTCTTGGACGTGAGCTAGCGAGTTGTCGAGACTGTGGATCTCCTTCTGCTGTGTAATGCAGGTTGCCAGGAGGTCTGTGAGGTGCGAGAGGAGGAGCGTTATCTTGTTTGCGCTATCCTCCAACTTGCCATTCTCTGCCTCGGTCCGCCAGTCCGCTGCCAAGCCTGCTCTCCGGTAAATATCTTCTCACAACGTTGGTGTCTTTCTTCATCGCCAGCCCTTGCTGCTGCCTCGTCATGCTGGCGCTGTTGTTCAATCGCCAGCAGACGTGCCTGCTCGGCATCCTCTGCCTTCTTCTTTGCTGCTGCTGCAGCGTCATCTGCTCGTTTCTTTGTTTTGGTACTCCAGGCCAGCATGCGGGCCTGATAGGACTCGTCTGCTTCTCCGGGCCTCTGGTCCATGACTGTTGTATGTGAACGCAACAGCATAGACCAGGCCGGGGCCTGCTGATGTGGTATCCCCTGCTGCTGACGTGGCACTGCTGACATGTCCTGCTGATGTGTCCTGCTGACGTGGCCTACTGACGTAGCCTGCTAACGTGGCCTGCTGATGTACTTACGTAGTCTGCTGACGTGGCCTGCTGACGTGGCAACTTACCAATGCCGCCGCAGGGGGTACCCGGAGACAAACAGAGCAGGTAAGGCGAGAGATGGCAACAACATAGGTGGGGAGGGGTGGGTGGGATAATCACCCAACTAACACTCAAATAAGGAGCCACTAATCAAAACAGAAAAGTTTGAACTTTGCAAAAAAAAATTCGAGAAAAATAAAAATCCCGATTTTTGCAAGTTCAGTAGGTCTCCCAACCTCCCTTGAAGTGCGAAATGATCACTGAAAGAGAAAATTTCGACTTCAAACTGCAAATGATTTATAGAACTGACTGACAGAATCCTACAACTGCGAAAAAAAAACTTCCGAAAAGAAATGACAAGTATTCGGGATTTATTCAGAGAAYATTCGCAGTTTGGAAAATAATACCGCAGGAGGGATTTCCCGTACCGTTTTTAGAAAAACGAATTTCGGAAAAGAAGATATTCCAAATTCCTAAGTGACGAGAAATGCAACAGGAAATCAAAATTTTCGAAAAGAAAGATATTCCRGATTTTCAACAACGAAATTTCGAATTTTAAGAAGAAAAACGAAAATGGACTTTTCAGATGTTGCGCTACTGCGATTTTCTAGAACAGAATAATGAGAAAATAAAATCCAAGAAAAGAAAAAAAATTCGATTTTCGGTAGTAAGGTCAAAATCATGATTTTGGGGTCTAACTAATGTGCTCTAATCAATCAATAAAGACTAATCAGCTAATTAGTCCCCGCACACGTGTCAGATCAGGTTGTCCTGATTCCCGTGCGATGCTCCGATACCAACTGTTACATGCACAGACATGCAATGTACGTAATAACCGAGGATCTGCAATGTGATGAAAAGGACTGAATAATAACTAGCCCAATCAATGTTTGAACGCAGACCAAACATACATCGTATCCATCACCAGGTGTGAAGGAGCCTGGCGCTGTACACAGGAAGAAAGCGC